CTTTTTTATTAAATGTTGCTAATGTCAAATATATGTTGTTACATGGAATGCAATAATTATACAGCTATATTTATAATGTTATAACTGATCCAATCAGAGACAATTAGAGAAAATTAGTTTATAGGTCTATGGTATACTTGTATACTGAGAATTAAAACCATGCTATAATCATTTAATTGTTAATTTAAAACACACTAAAAGTTTAAAATATTAATTAGTGTTTTAACATTTTTTCATGTAGTAACCAGAATGTTGTACTTGTACTTTCGAAAAAAAATGTTCAAATTTTATTAGCATTAGTAGAACATAGTATGTTTAGAAAATACAATATATTTATACATCTTATATAACTACCATGCTTCATCATCCCTTATTTGCTTCAGCAACTAACCTTTCATTGGCCAACACCAACCTTGTGGCTATGCCCTTACGACTCAAAAGTTGCTCTCATTTGCATCACAAAATTTAAAATCTGTAATTTATAATATTTAAAAATTTAATATTTGGAAAATAAAATATACAATACTCTTTAATATATTATATTGAATTAATAATATAAATATACAATTATTAAACATTATATTATATTTTGTATATTTGCCTTAGTAGTATAAATTAACAAAATATATTGGAYTATAATTTAAAAAAAAATTATCAACATAAAATCAGTTATTAGTTTTGATAATAGATAGTAAAAAACTCATATAAATTAAATAAATATTACTGTAAGACAGATTACTGAGTAGTACATACTTCATATAATATACACATCAGTTATAATAGATATAATAAACTTACGTAATTGATTAACCCATGCCTTCTTGTWGCTATATTCGAAGAAGAAAATTATAATTTATATATAGCTATATAATTGTATTATTAATAATATGTCTCAATGTTGATTTTTATGGTGATTTAAGTTTTAAACATTAGTGATAAACTTTGGTGCATTTAATATGCATTTTATATTGGAGTAACTAATAAAAATTTTCTTAAATATTAATTGTATTTTACATCTGCTACTATTATAGTATCATGATAATATTATTGAAACATTTACTAGTAGTTAATTATTATTATATAATGTATCTAATTTAAATTGTCTCAATTATATATATATATATAAATCAATAAGTCATATAGCTAAACCCACTTACTCACTAAAAATGAATACCAATTTTTATTATTGTTATTACAGTACAATTAATCTAATATATGTTTATAAATTATACCTAGGTAATATATATCAGGTACCTATATTGTATTATTGTCTTATTTGAAATTTGAATTTAAAACTAGTACTATTACTTCTTATAATGAGTTATGATATACAGGGTGTCCCGCGAGGATTTACCCATTGCAATATCTCACGAAATAATGGTGATATCGAAATTCTGGTTTTGTAATAAGACTCACAGGGAT